ATATTGGCAAATATGCACCTTATTTTATTACTTCACCTATAAAACCATATGCCAACTACAAACTTAGGATTGTACAGTAAAATTTGAACAATTTAAGAACAATGTTATGTATTGGGATTCCCAATATATGGTAAATGTCAGAGCAGGTTGTGGTCCAGAACAAATTGGTATTAGCTCTAGACCCAGTCCACTGTATATAATAATAGGGTCCAGGAGCCATAGCACAGCACAGCCTTGACAAGGACCCAACCAGTTGATGCCTCTAGCAAAAACCACTCAATACTTGTCATGCACATACATAAGATAAAATATAATGCACAGCTAAATAGTGCATAGATTAGAGACTATATCGCCTCTGTAGATGTCAAAGCAAAGGTAATGGGTAGAAAATATCCCCTCCAAGTAGCTGATACCATATAGTAGGGCTAAGGCTTTTCTCAGTTGAACTTAGTTATGATGCCCTCCAAAGTGGAATCATGATTAGTATGTGCCTTTTGGAACTTTTCATAGAATAGATGGTTTGGTGTTTCCTTGAAAACCTACTTAAACAATACAAAAAAATATGGTATTAAGTCGATATTAGATATTAAGTCAAAATCAAATAACAATATGAAGTTACCTGCTCTGAGCTGGCCATTGAACCATGGCATGCAAGCAACAGAACTCTGCTCGGGTCTCCCAAAAGAGGATGAGCTTGGAGTTGTTCTCTCAGAGCATTTATGCCATCCCAACCAGTCATAAATACCAAAACAGCACCAGGCCTTTCTTTTGTACATATATGGCAAAGAACATTTTCTGTGAGGTTAAAACCTAGAGAATCAGGATTCCAACAGCGCAAAGATTCCTGAGTCTGTAAGCTATATTCCCTAAAATCAGCAGCTTCAAGGGCATCCTGTTCCAAGTTTAAAATTAATCAACATAAGGAACAGAAAGAAAGAAAAAGTGCAAAGAAAATACAACAAAGAAATTGGTAGGAGGCTTCAATCTGTATACCTCAACAACAGAAGCAATTGGGCTCTTCCTCTTTCTGAGAGCCTGTTTCTGCATTTTCCATGCCTTTTCTTGACCATAATCATCAATTTGGTTGTACTGAGTTAATCTGTACCCAGTCGTTTCTAGAACATTCTCTAGAAAATGAGTCCGTACTGGGTATGTAAAACCCTGAAAAGAGGTACCAAAAAGCCAAAATGGTTAAGACACATTCGGTTATCAAATTCAAGCAAACAAAGTTCTCCAATGGGAAAACAATTTAAGCAAACAGTTTATGATGATCAGAAAATGTTACATGAAAAAGTTACCACAAAAGCATGTGCTATATCCGAGCAGCCCATCACTATCAGATAAAAGAAAATCAAAAGCAGTGATTTCTCTTTATCCCCATCAATGTTTTAAAAACCGACCTGAAAATCGAACCGTTTTTGCCTCCGGTTTCCAGGTCAGTGGTTCAACCATCAGATCAAATGGATCGACCCATGGCATCATAAATAAATAAATGTGTTTCGAATGCTGCTACAGTAACCCGAACCAGGAAGAGAAGGAAGAAGAAGAGGAAGAAGAAGGAAAAGAAGGGTCTGTCGAAATCTGATGATCCTCCCATTCAATCGACCCCCTTAATAGTTATTAGATTCTAATGACATTTACAAAGACTAAACTGCCCTTACTTAAGTGTGGGGCAGAGTGTC